AAACAATAAATAGATGTATTTATATACATTCCCGTTTAGTGAATTTTAGTTTAATTCTGATAAGGGTAGGTATTTGATTGATCATTTTACCTTTTTTATTACTTTTGAAGGATTATGGTTACTCTCGCCATCTCCATTATAAAAGCAAGTATCTATTTGGACAAAAACTTACATTCTTATTTTAAATTCCATGATTATTAAAATTTATGTGAGAAGTAGCACAGCAGTGTTAATTTCTAAACGATAGTTATCTTTAAAATGAATACTTAAGTAAATATTTTGACCTACCACAGTTCAGTTAAGCAATTGTTTCTTTCATTGTTCCATCCTACCTTTTATTAAACGTCGCTACGGACTTATTATGACCGATTAATAACAAAGATAATTTGTAACAAAAGACGATCTCTTCCTACTGTTCGCTTCTGAATTGTTTTGAGACCCCCCTTTGCGTCACCAAGGAAACAAGAAGCCACAGAACTACATGACATAAGCACCCATTTATTTAGACAACAGTTATGGAAAGAAAGGCGTTGAAACGATCCATCTCAGTGAACGAGCCATGGTGACAGGTCCCCCGTTGAGAAGAAACGCCTTTTAACATCGGTGAATGTGGATAGATTGAGATTTATTTCCCTTACTACCTGGGTGTGGTTGTGCAAACAACATGAGATAAAGATGGAAAACGTGCAAAGTGGGTTGGTTCGAATGTATTAACACGCATGAATCAAAAGAACTCACATTTTGATTTAACAGAAGTGATATTATGGTTATTCTACTTATTAGGAACATTATTTGGTACCTGTATTAGAAGAAAAAAAAATTCAAAAATGATGTAGTAACTTATTGGGTATTAATATCACCGAATATTGAAATCAAATAAACGAACTAAAAATATATTTAGCGCCCAATGCTTGAACGAGCATTTCTCACCACACATTTATAAGCTAAATTAATGTAAACATAAAAGGAAGACTTTTTATTAGATTTTGTATGATCACAGATTTGGAACTCTTTGGTGAATAATCGCAAAATAAGTACTTGATGAGATCTGAATCCGTTGAAGTGATTCTCTAGTGGTTTTCTAGTAAATGTATCTCCCTTCGCATGGCTCTCGAGCTTGACAGAAGCCAAGGCGGAAAGAGAAAGTTCTGTACGAAAATATGCGAAAAGCAGTAATAAATCGAAACTGAAATAAAACGAATCAAACACTTAGAAAATAAAAACATTCATATCCGTTATAAAATACTCCGTAACTTGAAATAATTTCATGACAGCAATGAAACGGATATTGAAATAATGTTAGTCGTCTAACCATCACATAGAAAATAATTGCATTTCAAGCGTTCCAACATCCTACTGCACTAACTTGAAATAAAATACAATATTACATTGCGCACAAGTTGGCAAAGATTTAACTCGGTTAGTCCCACGGGCGCCGTTGCTGGTGATTGTCGCCGGGAGCGCGAGTCCCCCTGCCTCCCCGCGACCTCTTCCCGGGACCTCACCCCGGATACCCGCCCCGGGAACGCCGGGATTAATTGCTCACACCGTGCACTCTCTCCCAAGGCACACGTTAACAACGAATTGTTGCAGTGAGCACAAAGTAACATCTAATGTTATACCCAATGATTATTTTCATTGCGGCTTGACAAAATTGCTCGGGTGAGACCGACAAATTACGCTCTGTAATTTTTGTAATACGATATTTATGATGAGCGCGATTTAAAAATGGATTGGAAGCAATTTAAGTTTATATTTGTAACTTTTTGAGAAGGGTGCTATAATATTTGAAAAGTTTAAAATTCTAACATGGATTTTAATTTTATTATTAACATTTTATTATCTTTTATTAAAATTAAGTAAACTAAAAAAATAAAAATTAAGCAGAGCAGTTGATAAATTTTGAGATTTCAATGCAAAAACAGCATCGTGTTTCCTGGATTTTCAGGTGGCATCCAGTGGATTTAAAAAAAACTGCCATACAAACCTTGTTGTAACAATGACGAATCCGACAAAAATGATCGATCGATTATCTAATGTGAAATCGTTCGGAAATTACGCGCTATGTAATAAAATAAATCAATATAAATTGAACCTCACAATTGCAAACTTTCCCTACGCTAAATTATGTTAATTATTTATTTATATTTGAAACTACAAAATGTGATAGCAATTTTGACAGTTTTTTTAGTAGTAAAAAAAAACACTGCGCTCAGTAAAATTACACGTAGGTATTTCACATTTAGCGGATTCTATGTAAATAACAAAATAACTTTAATATTGACCCATAAAAGTTTAAAACAATGTAAAAAAGAAGTCATCTATCAATATTTGTCTATCTAAGTACAGTATTTTAAGTGCTCCATATGTTTTCCTTGGCCTATTAATATTATAAATTTAAAATTTTTTCAAAAAAAAGTACAGTACGATCGATTCGAGTACGAGTTAATGCACACCTACTTCATTTGTTTGTGTAAATTGTTGTAATTATTGCATATCATAAAATTTTATAATATGCAATTTAACTGAGTTCATACAACACTTATTTCTGAACATAGTAAACTTTATAATGTTATTATTATTATGACAGTTAATTTATAACATGTATATCATTGGATTGGCAGCAAGTTCAAGTTTATAAATATCATCCATTAGTTACATAATAATTTTATGGCCCTTGCCATCTTGATTATTGACACTATTTATAATTTTGTTTTAGCACAAATACTGTAAAATACATACTTACTTTTTTTTAAAGTGAAACTTTTATTAAATTGTCACAAATATTTCGGTCAACTAGAATATGTCACATTACATTTTTAATTGTTAAAGAAACAGACCTTATCAACAAGCATCAGTAGTTCAGTTGTAGAAAGGTCGCGTCCTGCGCGGGCGGCCCGGGTTTGAATCCCGACCGCGGAAAGGCTTTTTTATTAATGATTTGATTGATTTTAAAAGTTTTACTTGCATCGTGGTTTTATAGCTTTGTTAACAGTTAGGTAGGTACATGGGCGCAAAACACAGGATTGGCGATTCGAAATATTTACTAAATTTCATTGAACTGTCGAGTCCCAGCTCCCGTGGACCATATTTTATTTATTTTTTATTTTTTTATTTATTTAAACTTTATTGCCAAACATAAGCAAACGGCGGACTTAATGCCATAGGCATTCTCTACCAGTCAACCAGTATGATTGTTGGAGACAAATAGTATGGCGATAGAGCAAAGTTGCTAAAATTAAATAAAATGAACAATATCAAAATAACAGTAATAAAATAATAATACTTAAATACAAATTGATGCACATATATAAAATACTCATATAACCATACATAAACATACACATATAAATAAATATATATATATATATATATACATTTGCATAACATACATAAAATACAATAAATATAATATATATCGATGCAAACTATAGGGAAAAATCACGTAGTCAGGTAGTGTTCACGCACAAGTTTTTTGAACTCAAACTTATTTTCAGTACTACGTATGCTTAGTGGTAGAGCATTCCACAGGCGTATGGCAGTAATAGTGAACGATTTGGATCCAAACCCAGAATGATTAACGGGGATTTGTAGTGTAAGATTTCTGCACGAGCGAAGATCACGTTGATTGGAAGTGCCCAGAAATTGAAATCTAGATTTCAGGTATTTTAAGGTATGTTATTTCTCATATCAGGCTGTCTTTAAGGAAAAAAACGAAAATGTCCAAGTATTAGCTTTCCCGTGCTGCCAGTGAAAACTATGCAAGTGATATAATATAAAGTGTAAGGAGTAAATATAATAATTTAAATTTGGCACGTAAGTGGTGGTGGTCTATGTTACAACTTTTAATAAGATTATAGCTGAAGATCAATTAAAGATGATAAATGTTCGCCTCAAGCAGACCTAGAAGGAATCTAGGTTCCACCCTTTCCTTTTTTATTTCTTAATTTCCGCTTACAATAATTTGGAAGAAATTATGGATCCGAGTCTACCGCACCGAAGGGACGAACGTCAAATGTTAGACAGGAAAGTGTATAGAACAGTGTGAAAATAAAATATGTAGTTGTTATTACTATCTTTATAAGTAGGTACTATATTTATTTATTTACATAGACTTGAATTTACATAATGTACCTACTAGAAATCAGTGTAAAGAAATTAGAAAGTAAAGCTTCATTTGTAGCTAAGCACTTCAGTATTGAAATTTTCCTATTTTCCTAAATATATATAGGCCGATTATTTCTTCAAATAACTTCATAAATAAATAAATTTGAAAACCCTTCATTCCTTAATGGCTTTATTAGATGTTTATATCATAAGAAAGTGCGTAATAAGGTGTTTTGTTTACTTTTTCTTAATAAAAAACTAGATAAAATTAGAGCTTTTATTTTTAGGAAATTTAATTGTTAAATAACATAATAACGCGAATTTTGCTAGGTCAAGACTTGAATTGAAAGATATTAGATAACTAAAGGTAAATCAATATCGTTTTAGTGAAAACATAGCAATAAATTCTACAACGTATCTAAATCTTCTCCCGTTTACTGAGGTATTTAAGACATAAACGCGTTCTTTCATCTCGATTACCGGAAATATACAAAAATATGTCGTATCAATAGATGTTTGTTAGACGAATTATATTGATTTGTAACAAAATTATTCTTCTCTTTCAATTATTTGTGAGTAAAAAAAACACACCTACCTACATTAAAATAAATACGTTTCAACGTAGGTAGAAATTAATTTTAAAAGACAGCGCTTACATTGAGACTTTCGTAATCGGATGGGCCAAACTAATTATTGCTATAAAGCAATTAAGTTTATTGGACAAAGTCTTCTCAAATGAGAATGATCCAATATTGGCCACCACGGTATATTATGTGATAGTACTCTTTAATCAAATATACATTGTTATGTTAACTTTGTAAAATTATGTATTAGCAATTAAAAATAATTTACGGTATAATATACCATTATAATAATAAGAAAAAAATAGAAACCTGGATTGGGTTGTGTCTGGTAGTTGGGTTTCTTCATCCATTCGTAGGGGGAGCGCGGCGGTGCCGGCGGCTGCGCAGGCCTAGAACCAGGCGAGCCTTCTCCGGGGCTGGCCAGGTCGCCGCGCGCGGGAGACGGTATATCCGTAATCTCCCTATCACCAGGTTCTCTCTTAGGGAAGTGGTGTGGATCCGGCGCCCATTCCCCGCCCGCCGGCGCCCCGTTCCAAGCGCACCATTGTTGCTCCTCAAAGTTCTGGTGCTGCCAGCCATACCAGCTGCCGCCGTACTGCCCGCCCTTGCCTTGGTACATGGCGAGCGGATTGACGTAATTCACCATGCTTCGATCACTGTCCGAGCATCGCACATTCACTCGCCTTCACAACACTGACGGTCGTCGTCACAGTCACGAGAGTTACCAACGAGACACACTTCACGTAGCGTAGCGATCGCGACTGAGTAAAGTGTGTACGTGCGGCGTTTACGCCGGCGGAGGCGGGTGATTTCAGAGATACGAGGGGCGGACTCGACTCGAACCAATGGCGCGCCTGCGAGCTAAAAACCCCGCCTTGATCAGAAACCCCGTCGCGCGCCCCGAATGCCGCGATCGCATTTAATTTGCCTAATTACAACAAAAATAATGAACATAACCTTAATGAAGTCCATTCTCGTGTACGTTCACTTCGACTAATTATAACGATAAGTTTAAACCAAGTAATACTTGCAATGTACATCCTACCTACCCTTCTTAATATCTGGAGATAAAGTTTATGTTTTTTGCAGGAAACTAACAATGATGTTTTTACATTCTAACCTTATTAGTTATATTTATGATAAAATTAAAACTTATTACAAATGAACTTATTGTTACAATTAAATAAAAACGTTTATAAAAATAAATTAAAACCCACTTAATAAAATTGCTATGCATGTCTGATATATAGATATATACATATTTATATATATATAGATTTGAGTTCCCAGTTACTACTTTGGGTTGGCATGGCACCGACAGCAAATATTAATTTGACTAACGAAAATGAATTATTTCTTAATTTTGGGTGGTCTTGTTTTGATAAAGTCGGTTTCAATATTTTTTAAGTTTTTATTTTCACTTTTTATACGCCAGAGTAGGTAACATCAAAAAAGGTGTGCTATTTAATCAAATGGAAGAAAGAAATCAATTCATTCTAAGAACTGACTTAAAAACTTAAAAAAAAAGAAACTAACCTTTTGAAAACAAAACCACTAAAAGTCAAGAAATACTAAACACGTTTCCTTTACTTAAGTCTAAAGAAGTTACCTTTGAAGTAAAATTAATATTTGTGTGGGTGTCATGTCATGGAAACTCAGATTTATAGATCTATCTGACGTGCATGGCACCGACTCCAAATGTTAATTTGACTTTAAATGTACCTTGTACTTAAGATATAAGTATAGAATATGAATAATTTCTTGCTTTTTAGTGGTTTTGTTTTTATGAAGCCGGTTTTTGTTTTTTGTTAAAAAAATATTTTTCACTTTTTAGAAGCCAGAGCAACTTACTAAATAAAAATGCTTAAGTATCTGGCCTGCAAGCTCTCTTTCATATTTAGTAAAATAGCCAAAAACGATTCCTATGCCTAGTTTCTGTTTGTATTTCAAAAGTTCCGTTGTTTATCTCCGAAAGTCAGGTCTTCACCAAATAAATATAGGCCTATTAGAAAACCTTCCGTTCTCTTTTGAAGTAACTTATTTTAGTGATGTGAACTGTTTAATTTTAAAATTTATTGATAAATTAGCTATAATCGCTCTATATAACTCACCATTGTATATATTTATAAATACTGATGGTTTCATGGATTCGCTGGACGCCACCTTAAAAAGTATCGGTAATTATCCCAGTAATGCTATTGTGGGGGATATAAATATCAATATTACTCCAGCCAACACAGATCGCCACTCAGACTTATATATTGCACGCCTAACAACAAGTAAGCGTGTGGGAGTGCTTTATTCTCAATAGGCCGCTATGTGACGATTTTACAATATAAAATCGCTCTTATCTCCCAAGTTAAATTCAAAACTAGACATATTAAATTATAAAGTCAGCGTATTTTTTCATTTATTTTTATAGTATATATAACAAAAAATTATAGTTAAACAATTATTCTTTCTGCAGTCCGTTGGTCTGTGCACTTGTATTGTTTGTCTGCACGTTTTAGAAAAATAAACGGAATTAATTGTAACAAATCCTTTTGAATTAATTTCCACTTATACTGAGGATGAACCCTATTTCTTATCATGATTGAACTAATAACCGTTTTAAAGATATTAATGAAATTCAATGGAATTTATTTCTGTTTCGTGAATGTGAGGCGTGCACTTTTGGATTTTCCAATTTTTTTTGAATATTATTGCATCTCATGATCTGCTGGTAGCTCAAGCTTTTCCGACAAGAGGTTCTAATTGCCTTGATAAATCTAGCGCCATTACATTTATTTTGGACTCACTTATTACAGACCACGCAATCGTAATAGGTACTTTGCTGTGGCCTAAAACTCGTAAATCAAGTCGTTACTTTACGCAGACAAACAATAGAAGTGCACAGACCAACGGACAGCAATAATAATAATTGTATAACTGCAATTTTTTGTTATACTAAAAAAATAAATGAAAAAATACTCTGACTTTAGAATGTCTAGTTTTGAAAATACCCCTTTTTGACGTGACAACGTCTTAAATTAGGTTGCGGCTGGGAGTCACTTATGAAAAAGTGTAACGCTCGGTAACGTTACGATGAGTCTCTCGTGTTAAGTTTAAGTTTACATGTACAATGTTTTAGTAAACAAAATATATTTCTATAGTTAAAATTTGTGCAATTCTTATTTTCATTCAATTCCTTGTTCCTATTGTGCAATTTAATTATATTCATATCAATAAATATTCTACCGAGAAAAAGACGTTGTCACGTAAAATCTTCGCCCGTAAAACCGACTTTACAGGCAACCATTTTTTATTGATTTAGTGTCTAACTTGGGAGATAAGAGCGATTTTATATTGTAAAATCGTCACATGGTGGCCTATTGAGAATAAAGCACTCCCACACGCTTACTTGTTGTGAGGCGTGCAATACAAGGCGTCCCACGGCTACCTCACACGGAGGGAAAGTATATTAAATATTTTATTGAAGATAGGATATTTTACTGAAACAAGACATCATTTTATTTTTAATAATAATTAGAACTGCATTCACAGATTTTTTTAAAATCGCCTGCTTCAACTGGGAATCAAACTCGTGAAATTTTGAAAAAATAAACACAGCATATATTATGATAACCATCGAAAGGGTTAATCTTAAGGATTATTTTTTGCTAAATAACATAGTATTTTAAATGAGAGGAATGTCTTATTTACGTGATAAAAATAATAAAGTTATATATAAACTGTAGTCCTATGCATTTCTTTCTGAACTCACAATTACAATGCGATTGGCTGAAATTTATAAAAATTATAATTCTAAAATGGAACACATAAATTTTCAAGCGTCTACAATTTTATTTGCATTTTTGAAGTTATACTTCTTTAGGCGCGTTATGAAAAAATGATGAGAGTGAAATTTTAAGATGCGCGCGCATCACTGTAACACAAAAATTAACAGTTAATTTTGTGACCTGAATGACGTTTAAAATCGAAATTACGTACTTTTACTATACTTATTGACATAATTTTTATTATTTTTAAAGCATGTAACTGGTTGATGTTTAAATCTAAAGAAAATATAACTAGAAAAAAATCCACGCGGACCAGGCAGCAGACGGGACCCGTCTGCTGCCTGGTCCGCGTGGAATTTTTTCTAGTTATATTTTCTTTAGATTTGTACTTATTGATGTTATGTGATCTCAACGTATGTATTGTTGTACTATTTCACTACATAAACTGGCATTTTATTTTCGATTAACATCAAATTTTAATAAAACTTTCAGTACGTACACCATAACATTTTATTTAACACAAACTAATATAAAATCGGATACGCCTCAAAGTAAGTTAAAATGTTGAGTTCATCATCGTTGACGTTTATCATTCTCTGCTGCAGTTTCTGTAAACGCATATCAAAATGTCCTAACTTAAAGTATCCGCTAACCTTTTAAACACATATCGAGAAGGCACGTCTCTATCCAGGTATCTTTTGCGGTACCACCGCAGAGCTGATATGTCTCTGTGGTTCATAAAGTAACCTTCCATTAAATCCATTTTATTTTGATACGCCATGGTAAGTAAATTCACAAAAAAATGGGTGCGTGTACTTATGTAGGCGCGTGAGAAGTTATCCTTCTTTGGCATCGTTTAAAATTAGTTTTTAATTGCATGCAAATAATTAATTACAATAAATTAATAAAAAGTCTGGAAAAGGACACAGTCAATAAAGTTCAGTTTTAATTTGAAAAAATAAATAAATAATCAAAATATTCAATTAAAATCGCTACTGAATATAATTTATTAGAACATATGTGATTTGCACTTGTATGAAACTCAAACACGTATTCCGAATATACAAACTAGAAACATGTGGATAAATATTATAAATATGAATACCTATAACTGTTACTTTATTACAAAAAATAAAGATGTGGTTTTTGGTTCTACTACACCAATGGTCAAGAGATGGCGCTGTAGTCTCCTGAATCGCGCTTTGGTTCCGTTGTTCCAGATTAATAAATACTTTTGATAGGCCTTCACAATGCAGTCGTTAGCACCCACTAAATAGAGATTCTATTTCTATTTTGTTGGTAGATTTTCTTAATGTGCGGTGCGGTAAACACAAAATTAACTGTTAATTTTTTTTTAATTTATATATGATGAAATTAAAAAATATTACACCACAAGTATGGTAGTTAATATGCTGAATTGGGAAACTGAAAAACTTTGTAATTAATAAGAGTCAAAGTCAAAAGCAAATGTGTTGAAAAAATGTTATTAAAAATAATAAAACAATGTTATAGGAATAACAGGTAGATTACAAAGATAAACGTTGAATAATATAAAACTAGATTAAGTTTAATTGCAAGTTTAACAGTAAGTTTAAATAACATAGGTTCAATAATTAAATACACTTACAATAAATTCACATTATAAAAATCAAAACCATAGGGACTTGATTCTTGTATACGCGGAAACACCTGAATGACGTTTAAAATCGAAATTACGTACTTTTACTATACTTATTGACATAATTTTTATTATTTTTAAAGCATGTAACTGGTTGATGTTTAAATCTAAAGAAAATATAACTAGAAAAAATTCCACGCGGACCAGGCAGCAGACGGGACCCGTCTGCTGCCTGGTCCGCGTGGAATTTTTTCTAGTTATATTTTCTTTAGATTTATACTTATTGATGTTATGTGATCTCAACGTATGTATTGTTGTACTATTTCACTACATAAACTGGCATTTTATTTTCGATTAACAT